TTTCGCCATACGTAGTATCTACGATGGTGTAATATTTGTTGAAAGAATATTAGAAAATACGAAATTGATCAGATTTATTAATTGAAGAATTAGGAGAACAATATTTCACATGTTTGTTAAAAAAAAAGTTTCAGAATTGAAATATGTGTTTTATTACTCTACAAAGTGAAGTATCATTAAAGAAATGTTATAACGAATACGATACTATGATATAACAAAAAAAAAAAAAAAATCAATTATAACACAAATAGAATGTATAGCATTGTTAAATTAGAGGTAATCACTTTGGAATCCTTTCTGTATCACCATTCACTACTTTCACTCACTCCTTCAGGAACATAATGGGGCGTTTGTTTGCACTTACTAAGTAGGACTGGATTAGATCAAACAAAGTATTAGTATAGTCCTCTGTTTAGTAGGTAAAGGGACTACGTTTAATGAAAGAGGATTCTCGGCGAATCCTCTCCAATCACATCCATTCAATCCTCATTCACGTTTAAAGGGATAAAACTAGACTCGCTCGGACAAACTCCTTTGTTAAGGCCATCTCCAACCGATCCGGCCAGAGGGCTGAAAATAGCTTGAAATGACACAAAAACCGTTTCCTACTGAGGGCTATGCCAAAGGGCTCATGGGCCTCATCAGGCCAAAAAGGAGAAAAGGGCTAACCGGTTGGCCCAATCCAGCTAGCTAGCCAGCCCCAGGCCGAGCAGGAATTCAAATGTAGCGGCTAGGTGCTGACGTCAGCTAACCGTTATATTTGATTTTTTTTTTTTTTTTACAATTTTTTTTTAAATTTAAAAATTCTATTTTTTCCCTATAACTTCCTAAACCATTAGACAACATTAAATAACATTAAGTTACATGAAACAACATTAACCAATATTAAAAAAAATATTAAAAAAATATTAAATAACATTAAATAGCATTAACCAAAATAAAAATTATACAACGTAAATTTAAGTTGTAGTTTTTAAATTTAAATAATAAATTATGTTTGGCACTATGGTTATTTGGCCCTCGGTTGGAGATGGTTTTTGTCACAGGGCTATGTTTGGCCTATGGCCATCTGGCCCCTCGGTTGGAGATTGTAAAAAATATGGCCCTACATTATTTACTAAAATATTAATTTGTTGGAGGGCTATAGGGCTAAAACGAGCCTTCTGGCCCTCCTTTGGTTGGCGATCGCCTAAAAGTTCTTCGCAAGTACCTCCAAATTTCACGACACTACTAAGACCGTCCTACAGAGAGAATGTCGTCCCTCGTCTTGCGAGAGAGATGTCGCACTACCTACGAGAGAGACGTCCTACTCTTTCACCCTCGTCCTGCTCGCTCCCATCTGTGTCCTACTCGCTCTCATTTGCTCCTCGTCAAGTAAATTTTGAATCTAATGATTTTCTTCTTCGATTTTGTTTTGTTGGTCATGAACGACTTCGATTTTGTCTGGTAAATTATTACTAGGTTGTGAACGACTTCATTGTTTTGGTTTCACAAACTTTTCAATAATTGATCTGTGCAATTGAAAAAATTAGGATTTTGACTTTTAGGTTCAAATTGATATTAGAATTTGGGGTTTTCAAATTTCAACTTTTTTGCGTTCTCACTATTGTTTCTTCATATGATTGACACCTCCAGATCTTTAGTATTTGTCATAAAATGGATTTGATATAAATTTCATCTGGTAGTTCTCAATGCTTAAATTTACTGGAGTGGATTTGATATTCATACATACATACATACATATATATATATATGAATTTCATCTAATATTTGTTCTGCCATCGTTGAATTTCATCTAATAATTGATATATATAGTCTGAGTGTATGTGTCTGTATGTATGTATGTACTTTGCGTGTGTGAGGGCGTGTCATGTGGGTGTGCGTATGTACTTTGTATGTGTGTGTCTATGTATGCTGATTTGGGTGCCTGTGTGCGTCGATATATACTAATTTTGTGTGTGTGCACGCTTTGTATCTATGTACTTTGTGTGTGTGTGTGTGTGTGTGTGTTGATATATGCAAGTTGTGTGTGTGTGTTGTATGTGTTTGTACTAAGCAACATAGATACAAATAGTTTCCACCAGGGTCCAACTCCATAAATACTTAATAGTTTCACAGGTAGTAACAAGAAAAGGGACTACATAAAGTGATTCTCAGTCTCTTTAAATTGATTCATCTGTTTGTTGTATGAGTTAAAGCGAAAATGGCAAAATTGAATGATGGTTTAGTTAATGATGGATTTCAGGCTACGGGTATGAGCTAAAGCTAAAAAAGCATACATCCACATTACATATAGAAATCATATGCCTGTTGGATATAAATAGAGCTTGCTAACCGGAATAATTAGATGATTTTTGTCATGTATTTGGATAAATAAATTGGCATAATTAAGATAAATTGCATGACAATTATAAAAATTAGAAATCATTCCCATTCAACATAAATAAACTATTAACAACGGATACACCTTACTTTATCTTGGGACATTCAATGAGTGATTTTTCAAACTTTTTCACTTTTACAATACAAAATATCCATCGTGTGTATTCTTCAAGCATGTTATCATTACTTTTAGATTGTAGGATAAAAAAAGAGTGAATGGTATGATTTCATGACTTTAAAAAGCCAATATTTGTAGCATTCTTATCTCTTAAAACTGTTGTCTTTTTAGCCAGTTATGGATACCATTGTATGGTTCTTGGTGGTCAGCTTGACTTGCCCACTAAGCTTTTGCTAACGCTATTCCTTCAGAGGCTTCCCATGCTTTCCCACTAAGTTTTGATGCTCATGCTTTTATGAGTTTCTATAAAACCCTAATTTTTTCGGTTATCTTTAATCTATAACCTTTCAGGCACTCAAGAAGAAGCTGTTGAGGCTTATGACATAGCTGCGATCAAATTCCGGGGACTGAATGATGTGACCAACTTCGACATAATACGGTATGATGTGGATTGGATTATGTCAAGCAATACCCTCCTTTCCGGTGAACTTGCTAAGCTTAATAAGAAGGTTGTGCCTGTTAATGAGATTGTCAACTCTGTTTGAGATCTTTGCTACTGTAGTTTTTGCTTGCTATGTATACATTTGACTTTCCTGTGACAACGTGCGGGCTAAATCTCTAATGATTATTATTATTACTAGTTCAAAAATGTATAAATTGTTCATGATCTTTTCCTTTTACATATTGTTATTGGTTTTCATCAAACTAGTTGGAGCAAGCCAATTTACGTGCTCCGAATCCAAATGTTGCAATGATCAAGGCTCAGCTATCCATTTGCCATTGCGCCTCACGCGACATTGTGGTCTTGGGATTAAATGGAATCAAACCAAAGGTGAATAATTAAGAAAAACATTTTGTGCCCCGTCGATTGTTAGGAGAACACCTTTGTTATATTGATATTTGGAACAATGTTACTCTTGAATCATGTATGTTTCTTTCGTTATCAAGAAATTTGGTTTTTGTACTTTTTATTGTGAGTCTCACACTCGTCCAATATTATTAATTTTGATAATATCTTTAATAAAAAAGAAATTAAAATAGAACAATAATTTAGTCTCAATTCGTGCAAACACCAAACTAGTGGCAGTAATATTTTTATTATTATGCTTCTTAATCCGACACTGCATCAAACACTTTACTAAGTTAGTCCAGCTTAGTCTCTGAAACTAATCCAATCGGAGATAGTCCGGTGCAACAAACAGAGATCAAATTCGTTCATCAGTTGGTCTGTTGTTATCCCCAAGAGCTACTGCACAACACCAAGCCTTTGGGGGGGGGGGGGGGGGAAGGGCATTTTAGGCTTCCGAGGGAACAACAGCGAAGACTTGCGTCCCATTTCCTTTAGGAAGACTTGTTTCTTATATTAACACATGAATTGAACCAGATCGACACATTCAACTTCGATTTGCATTGCCTACTTGCTAAAAGCACAAATAGAATTGCCGATCATTCATTGTATGAAGCTTTTATGACCTCACTAATTGATCTTGCACTTTTAAGTTCATAACGAATGAAATGACCCCAGTATTATAGAAATGTAATTTCCAATTGTAATTGGTGTAAGATTCCTAGAAAGCTATATGGTTTAGACGACAACTCTACTCAACTTCTGTTTCATTCTAAGACTAATCGTTCTTCGTCCTTATTTTATATTGTTCATTCTGATGTGTGGATGTCTCCAGTTACTTATGTTATTGGGTTTGGTATTATGTGCTTTTTATTGATGATTTTTCTCACTACCCATTATGGTGGTGGTGGAGTATAAGAAATATGAAATCTATCAAAATCTTGAGGGAAGATGTTGAATTTGTTATGACAAAAGAACTTATCATAAAAGCACTTAAAATCCATGGTTTTTAAAATTCTTTAAAATAGACACCTGGACTTTTACAGACTCACAAAAAGTCATAACTGAATACCACAAGATTTTCATAGTCATTTTAGAAATCACATAAAGTCTTTATTTACTACCAGTGATTTTTGTTGATTCCTTACTTTGAAGTCAAGCAAAGTCTATCAAACTCCATATACAATACACGCCTAATAGGCAATCCAACACGCATTCAACCGCATCCCCAAATACTCTCCCATTCATTGCCTCGTCAATCTTCATGTTTATTCGGATGAAGGCCATTCGTCTTATCTTGCAGGATTTTGGTTCCAACAATCATGACAAATCCATTACATAAACATCACATTATCATTTATATTAGATCATTAATCGCTAGATTTAATTTTCACAAATCATACGATTAGTGAACAAAGGGAAGCTAAGCAATTTCAATTAGATTTTGCAATGAGAAATTATACGTTAGATGTGGGTGTTACTCCAATTGTTGGGGCCGGCCCAGACCTGAGGAGTGGTGACCCCAAGCCCATTTCTTGTATACTACAAGCTCTTCACAGTATCGTTGCCACATGGTAGTTCCCTATTGGCCGAATGATGAAAGGCTTTTGTTTTTTTTTTTGGACACTAAAAAATAAATAAATAAAACTGAGAGAGATCCCTTGAGCTACACAGTTTCCAAAATTTCTCAAATCCGACGCGGTCGCTGCCAATCCGCGGCAGAAATCGACGCCGCCTCCACCTCCAGCCTCCCATCTCATCCGTCGTCAGCCACCCACAAGTCCCCTCCCCTCCTCAGTCTCTTTCTCTCGGTCTAGCGCGCCACCGCCTCCTCCCTCCACCTCAACCTCCAGAATCCAGATACAGGGGTTATACAAATCTTGTGCTAATTAGCGGTATTATGCAAGTACCTAGCAGTATTGAGACTTAGAATTAGCAACGTCGTCGGTTAATTTCAATAGAGATTAATCATCTCCAGTGATTTTTATATTTTCCCCCTTTTGCGTGTGTCTGTTTAACTGCAGAAATGTACAACAATGTGGGAGGCCAGCCTGGGGTGGGAATGCCGAAGGCATCTCCGCAGCCGAATCCGTTTGGGAATACGTTTTACGGTGCTAGTTCAGGACTTATCCGTGGTGGATTGGGTGCATATGGAGAAAAGATTTTAGGATCAAGCTCTGAGTATGTACAAAGCAATGTAAGTAGCCAGAATCCACTATTATGATCTTGGTTAACTATGAAATATGAAGAATTTAGGATCAAATTGTAAAATTTCTGAATCAAGTTTTGATTTTTGCGAATCAGTTTTGCCCCTAGGGTTTATAAATTATTATCAATTAAGAATACTTTGAATTTGTTATGATTTTTCTTATATCTCGTGATGCTCTTTATTGGGTAAAAGGTTGAGGATCTGTTAGTTAGATCGATCTATATTGTATTTGTACATAATGGCCCGATGCATAAGTTTGGAATTTTGTTTGAGATGCTGCTATATGTACTAGAATTCGATAGAATGCCTCTATACTGTTGTGTTACCTAAACATTTTGCATTGATATCTAACTCATGTAAGCTATATTGTCAACTGCTTTGAACACGGTAATTGCCTATTATGATTGTCTTCAAGTGACTAGATTTGTGTTTTTTATTTCTAGTACTTTTTGGATGTTAGCAATGGCATTTAAGTTTGTACTTAATTCAAGGTAATCGAGTTAAATATTGATCGTTTCTGTTGGAATGAGCAGATCAGTAGGTATTTCTCTGATCCGCAATACTACTTCCAAGTGAATGACCAGTATGTCAGGAACAAATTGAAGGTCGTTCTATTTCCATTTCTCCACAGGGTAAGCGCTACCATTTGAATTTTTTTCTTGTGGAATCAAATTATCCTACTACAGAACTTACTCATTCCTCCTGCCCTCTTTTATTTCAGGGCCATTGGACCAGAATAACTGAGCCAGTAGGAGGCAGGCTTTCTTATAAGCCCCCAATCTATGACATCAACGCACCAGACCTATACATTCCGTTTATGGCATTTGGTACCTATGTGGTTCTGGCTGGCTTCTCATTGGGTCTTCAGGGAAAGTAAGTTTATGAATCCTAGATGTACTCTATGCAGTTTTCTCTTCTATTTAGGTTAATGCTTTCATGGGAAATCAGTTGCTATAAGAACAAAGGGGTTTTCTTTTCACTGTAGAAGTGAGCTATGCATTTGTTTATTTTGTTGTTATTTCCTCTATTTGCAATTCTGTATCCTACTATTAGTTTCCTACTTTCGTCAAAGTTTGGGAAAATGTTCTATTTGGTATGGAACATATGTGGTCCTTTTGTTTCATTGTTTTATAGTCTAGCTGCATTTAGTTTTTCCCTTGTTCATGGTCTTCCTTAATCTTAGTTCAATATCCAGGTATGATAACTGTAGTACAATTGTTTTAACCTCTTAAATATGTTATGGGAGGCCAAAAAAAAGAAGGTAAAAGTAGATAACAATAAAATATCTCTCTGTAAAATGTTTTGTGGGCTTGGTACAATACAACTCCAAAATAATTTAGGTCAAGAGTGAAATGTAAAACTCTGAACACTTTGCCTTTTAGTTTCTTAAGGCTTTTTAAGAGGACTTTCAATATATCATCCATAATAGTGCTCAGATTAACACTGATTTCCATGATTGTGCCTGTGACTTTTAATATATGATCAAAACGTATGCTGCTGATTCGACAAATCACTCTTTTAGCAGACCATACAGTTCTTTTACTGGTAACCTGTGGGCAACTATAGCCGTTGTGTTAGAGAAAGCAGGACCCCCTGTTGATGATTTAGTTTCTTTCCCGTTCCTTTGTTTTTGTTTTTTCGTTGCTGTAGCAAATGAATTTACATTTGGGAGTCTTCTAGGTGCTGACTTTTGAAGAGAGAAGAATAATTTCCACTTGGACATCAATGTGAAACAATTAGCTATTGGATCATTTTCTCAACCTCAAGATTTTGTTACCATTCCTTTTTTTCCTTCTTTTTATATTTGTAATTATATTTTTATTGTTAATTGGTATTTCAATCTGTTAACATCAGAACTCGTATAAATCTTGGCACTCATGATATCTTAAAATTTTTTGTTGTTTACTGCCTGCCAGGTTTAGCCCTGAAGCTCTAAACTGGTTGTTTATCAAGGGCTTGCTTGGCTGGTTTATGCAAGTTGCACTACTGAAAGTATCATTGCTTTCCTTGGGCGGTGGTGAGGCACCATTGCTTGACATGGTGGCATATGCTGGGTATGCTTTCACGGGGTTGTGCTTGGCTGTACTTGGACGGATTATTTTGAGCTACTCGTACTACTTTTTGATGCCTTGGACGTGTATATGCATGGGAGTCTTCTTGGTGAAGACTATGAAGAGAGTTCTCTTTGCGGAGGTGAGGAGTTATGATTCAAGCAAGCACCATTATCTGTTGCTCTTTATTGCTTTGGCTCAGTTGCCCTTGTTTACATGGCTTGGCAACGTTACTGTTAATTGGCTCATATAAAACCGCTTATTCTGTACGAGTTAGAACCCATTCCTGTTTATAGAAGTTTCTGAAATCTTGTATACAGTTTCTTTGTATTAATTTCGGTCCACGACTTTTGCTCCCAGATTTAAGAATTTTTAGAAATATTTTTCGAGTGTTTTTAGGGGGGTTATCAAGTAATTGTAATCAAAAGCAGTAAATCTGACTTGAAAATTTGTCACTGAAGGGAGAAACCCCATTCCGATTGTTTTTCGTGCCCCGAAATTATTATCATTTAATTTCATTGGAAGTTACCTTGTCTGTCCTTGTTTTTTATTTTCTTGTCAAACGATAGATTTTGTTAGTTAGAAGTTAGATTAGCCACCGACGGAGTTCGAACTATGCAAGGGCTCAACTACTTTCCACCATTTTGGTAAAGGGCCACCTGCTATTGGCTGCCCTTGTTGGGTGATGAAAGATATGCGCCTGAATAGAAAGGAACTAAATTTCGTGAAGGGGTTAATCGAAACGTTATGCTGAATAACTTTCAAGGTTAAGCCTGTTGCTCCTTTTGTAACTACTAGTGTCTGAGCCTGTTTGAGGTTGAGCTTTGGCGCAATGGAAAAGTTGTTCCTTTGTGACAGAAAGGTAACAACTTTGAGTCGTGGTTAGGAAGATCAAGCTTCGGATTACACCGATACTTGGAGGAGTTCTGTCGAAAGTCATCCAATCCTCTGGCAATGTTGCCAAGAACTTGGAGCAAATTGACCCTTTTCTTTGGGATGGCCGGAGGATTGGCAAGTAATGCAAGGCAGGCAGGCAAGATTATATATCAATTATCCACAACAGTTATTTTCAATAGACGTGAAGTAAATAACAGGCATGTTTCCATGGAGTAAGGTCTTGTTGCCAGAGTAAGCGAAATTACATGCCGATGGATCAAATAAAATGGAAAATCCCGAAAACGCATTATAAATTCTTGTACACATACATAAATACATCCAAGTATTTACTTTGTATGGACATTATATAATTCAAAGTGTCAACTAATACCATGAAACCAGTTGATAGGCGTTTAAAATCAGCCAAGATCAGGGACAGTAAAATGATCATCATCGTCCTCCAACATTTCGATTCGAGGCTTCTTGTACGGACTGTTCGATTTGGCAGGTCTATACGAGGTAAAATTGGTTGCCTGCGACGGTGGAAGCTGAGGAACTTCAGCTGCTGCCAACGCTTTCTGAGGAAACTGCTCTACGCCGAAAATACCCATATCTGCTATCCATTCAAGCTCACCAAACTCAAAAGACTCTTTCTGATGAGAGCATAGACAAGAGATTTGTTTTAAGTATATGAACAGATGAAAGAAAATGCAAATGACATCATATTTTAGAACGTAAGCATCTTTACGTGTTGCGCTCAACGCATGTACAACTAGATAACAAGCAAATATAGAGAGGGATATTTCTAACCTTGTCGGAAGATTCAAAATCGGATAATTGCAGCAAGTCATCAACACCCCAAGGGGATGAGAAACCAGAAGGCTGTGGTGTTGGGACTTTTGTTGAAACGATCTTGTGTGAGCTGTGACTACTGGGTGGCTCCAAGCTACTCGGTTCAGTGTCCTTAGAACAACCGGAGCTCAATGCCACTCGGATTCCAGTGGCGAGGAACCTCTGGTGGTTTGCAGAGCGGCTATTCGCTGAATGAATTGATTCGTCGCAATCCTGACAAACGAGGGCTCTGTCTTCGACGCAGAATATAAAAGCTGCCTTGTCCTGCAAATCACAAGATAGATGAGAGAAATAAATAAACAAACAAACAAACAAACAAACAACGCGAGACTGAAACTTGAGGCAATATAAGAGAACTTGGCAAACTCATCGGATCATTTAGTGATGCTAACATGGATATTGAAACCTCATTCGCATATCCGATGCTAGCTACAACTATAACATAGTATCAGAAAGGACAATTATTCACACCAGACTCTTCGAATCATGCGCTCAACGTCGCTCAATATAATTAATCGACGTGACACGAGAGGAGCGCATTGAAAATTTTAAATACCACACAGGGCATGCATCTACACTGGACATCTCAGTATACTATTAAACCTTGACATCCAGTACTTGTGGCTCTATTGGTTTTCACTAGGTTTTGGGCAAAACTACTAGCACTATTAAAATGTTCAAAGCCTTAGACAGAGGTTCAAACCCTAAGACATCTGCATTTAAAAGTAAAGTTACAACAAATTTTTTACAAACCATAATCTACAGATAATTCATCTAAACTAAAAGAATGAGGATTTGGACTTAAGTGTAGAGGATGAAGCAGACTCCCCTAACCAATTGAACTAAGCTTATATTAGCAAAAAAAAATTACTACAATTGAGCAGAGAGAGAATATATTACTTGAATGAACAGATGAATTTCGAAAAGTAAACAAAATCTAACAAAAACAAGGTAAATCAAAACTGGTGATTGGAATATGCTTAGAAAATGGGGAATTAAGTGAAAGAAAATAAATTACTTGGCATATGTCACATCTGGGGAGTTTGTTTGACTTTGAGAGACACTCGAGGAGAAGCCTCTGGTGCTTGCTTGCAAGCTTATTCGCTGCATGTACTTCCACGTCACATTTGGCGCACAGCGCCGCCTCGTCGGCGCAGCAAATCACCGTCGCCTGAGCCTTCTCACACACATCACACTGAATTTTCATCTCCAATCTATCCTTCTCCTCCTCTATCTCTTCTTGAATATTTCAGAAAAACCTCCTAAACCCTTCACCAAAGATTAATGGAAGAACCGACGAAGAAGAAGAGATAACAAATTATTGGAGTGGAGTGGGGGCCACCAGAATATATCTTGTGGCTCTAGAGACACTGGAGTGTCTGCATGGCTTACTTGGTTAGCATTGCATGCATGAACTAGTGGCTACCAATAATTCTGACTGTTTTAAACTTTTTTTTTAAATAGTTTTGCCAACTGTTATTTAATTCGTATTTGTTTTAGGTAGATTGTGTTGGTATGTTTGCTTACACGTCTCCACGATGGAAAGATAAACGCGTATTCTTCAACAACAACAAAAAAAAAAAAAAAAAAAAAAGAGATAAACGCGAATTATACGCTTGGTGCAGGTATGATATGATATGATATCATTTACCAGAAAAATAATGCCAACTTGTGACTTTTTTTTTTTTTTTTGAGTGAAGGGCAAAGTTGCTCTTTATAAATTTGACTTTGAGAGGAAAGATGATGGTCATTTTGTGAGCTTCTTTTTTTTTTTTACCAATGATATTATTTACACTAGATGTAGAAAAGTGGTCTAAATCCACAATGGACTATTAATAATATGGTTCAAATTCGCCTTTAGCGAGAATCGAACCTAATACTTCTTACTTATTAGTAAAGAGGAATATCAATAGACCATAGTACTAAGTACCATAAGCTACTTTTAAATGGGAAAGGTAGTGAAGCTGGGACAGAAGTAAAGGTGACAAACCAACTCATTGGGTTGTTGATGGGTACCATTAATTAGGACCAATTTAGTTTAATTTCACCTTATAACATCATTACCACTACTAATCTCACATCTATATTATGGTGATATTAAATTAAACTGATTTTAATGGGTACCCATTAACAACCTAATGTGTTGATTTGTTGCAGGTCAATATATCCTACAAGACTACCAGTGAGGAATTATTGGGAGAAGACATTATTTTTTATGAATTTTTTAAGAAAATATATTATCTACACACTACACTAAATTCAATGGCTTTGGGAGTCTAATTAGGGATAGTAATGGTTCGGTTTGAGGACAGAAATGTTATATTCATCCCCATAACCAAGAAAATTAATCATATCCATAATTGCAAATTAACCGTTGGGTATTAACCATAACCATACCCACCGGAAAACGGATTCTCCATCGATTAACGGTTATATTCATCTTTGTCAATACAAAAAATATATTCGTTCAATTGACGTATTATAATTTAGTAAATATTAATTTCTTCATTAAATATTTGATGTATAAAATGATTTAATGAAATGATCTTGTGGAGTATAAAAATTAAAGTTAAACATTGATAATGTTGACTGATCTTTAATATCTCCCATAAGTACCATTGAATTCTCATAGATTTTCATTCATATCAAAACTTATGAGCTTTCCCACAAAATGCAACTCACATAATGCAATTTTTGTATTTACACTCAAGGGGATTTGGCAAATAATGAATATACATGTGTGTGTGTATATATTTCAATACTTTAATATTATGAATAATTATATTATATATTATTTGTTTCGGATTCGGGACGAATACCGATTGGGAACCCTTATAACCATATCCAAAACTATAAACGAATAATATTCATGATTTTTCCCCATACCCAAAATATAGCCGAATTTTCATATTCAAATCCAATTCATTCGGACGGTTATCTACGATTGTCGGATTTAACAGTTAGAATTGTCATCCTAAGTCTAATTTTCAAATGCCAAAGTATGGAGGAAAAATGACAAAAATTAGACAAAATTTGAAAAATAAACCTAGCATTAGATTGGCTTTGCATTCGGTTCTCATTTAATTTTTTTAATCAAATAGCAAATAACAGAAGACTTAACAAGTATTAAGGTTTGTTAGGTGTATGAATAGGTGTCAAATTTTCAAGAAAGTCACAAGAGTCGACATGCACAAATGAATGGCAGAAGATTAGAACTACACATGCACGTAGCAACTCCAAATGCTCCCATCGCACCAACAATTATGGTTCCAACACACGTAGCAATTCCGAGCGACAGGGAGAGAAACTCTCATATGATCATACACTAAATGATCATTCACTGCCACGCACTCTCTCTCTCGATCCGAACACGGCGACCTCACTTGATCAAAACAAGCTTTAAGGCCATAAACTCAGTTACTCTGCGACAAGACCGTTTCCCCCCTGAACCATGTCTTCCTTCGACTCCTTCCCCAACGACAACGAATCCCACGACCCCCACAGCCACTCCCCCGCCGGCCAGCCCTTCGACGACGATGCTTACATGGCTCACGACCCCGACCTTCCTTCTCATAACTACGACTCGTCGTTCAACCCTCCCACCCACCACCACGACTTCTCCCCCGCTGCCATCGACCCTCCCCTTCCCCTCCATTCTGATTTCCAGGACAACGTTGTTCTCCCCGGTGGCGACGACCACCACAATATTGATCAGCAGCAGCAGTCCCCCGAGGTGTACGGCTTCGGCATTTCCACCCCTAACCGGGAATTCGTGTCACCTTTTGATTCGGCGGTGCCCGAGGAAAATGGCGTCGTGGGTGGCGATGGCGGCATTGGTGATGATGACGGGGGCATTTTCGCCTCCAGTGAGCCGGTACTGCCTCCGCCCGAGGAGATGCGGGAGGAAGGCTTTGCTCGCCGTGAGTGGCGTCGGTGAGCTCAGATCCTAATTTGTTAATTTGACCATATAATTATTAAAGATTCCGATTTTGAAGACTAATTATTTGATTAAGTTGGATTTAAAAGCTGTTTTATGATTAATAATGTCGTGCATGCATGGGATTAAGGGGCTTAAATAACATCTTGTTCTTATTAGTTTGGGTCTGAATTAACGATGTTGAGCTTAGTCCCTGTATTTGGTAGGTGGGACATGAGGGTAAGTCGTATTTACTTTGAGTTTTTGTGCGTGTAAATTTGAAATTGGGTAACTTTGATTGATTTGCTTGCAAAATGAGCTTAGATCTTGACTGGATCATTGCATATGTGCGAATTCGTCTTTCCTTTTTTGATTGTTTTCGTTGGCTGATTCCGACCGTTGGTATCGGAACTAATGGAAAGTAACAGACCATGATATTACATGGAGACATTGTCTAGTCTTTAAGAGGAACCTAAGATTCACTTCTGGTTTACTGGATAGAAACTAGATGTTGAATTGCCAATGGGTTCCAAGTTACCTAGGTATATTGCTTCTTTTGGGAATATGGGTTCGAAGGCTAGCTTTTCCCACATTACATTCCATTGTACTAATTTTCCATACTGCGATCTCCCAATACTGTAGATTTTTGAACCCTTATGGTTAAACCGACATTGGAGTTCCTTGCATGGTTGGCCGAGAGGCTCAGAACATAGTGAAATCCTGGGTCTTGCATTATTGGTTTCGCATGTTAGATGGTGAACCAAACGAGACAGTAAAAAGTCATTGAAAATATTTTGATTTGACCTGTTGGCTCAATACTTGCAGCCTAAATGTCATTCATCTAGAGGAAAAGGAAAAAAGGGAAAGGGAGATGCGGAACCAGATTATCGAGGAAGCTGAAGAATTTAAGCGGGCCTTCTATGAGAAACGGAAGCTCAATTGTGAAACTAACAAAGCTCACAACAGAGAAAGGGAGAAGGTATGGTAATTCTAAAAACCCATTATGTTGTTCTACCTCTCCCGTAACCCTAATTCTCTCACCCTCCCTCCCTATCCCTTATTTTCTTGTACATGCATTCTACGATCACCATCGGTGCTTCATATCTAAGACGTGAATTTGACTTTCTGTGCAGCTGTACCTGGCCAACCAAGAGAAGTTCCACAAAGAAGCTGACAAACATTACTGGAAAGCAATAGCGGAGCTGATTCCTCGTGAGGTTCCTAATATTGAGAAGAAGAGAGGGAAGAAGGATCCAGACAAGAAGCCCTCAATTGTTGTCATCCAGGGCCCAAAACCTGGTAAACCGACTGATCTTTCAAGGATGCGGCAGATTTTCCTGAACCTGAAACAGAACCCACCGCCACACATGATGCCACCCCCACCTTCCAAAGATGGTAAGGATGCAAAGGGAGAAAAAGATGGAAAGGAGTCAAAGGATGGCAATGATACAAAAGATGCAAAGGGAGGAAAGGACGCAAAGGACGCCAAGGAAGGAATAATGGACGCAAAGGATGCCAAGGAAGGAGGAAATGATGCGAAGGATGCCAAGGAAGGAGGAAAGGAAGCAAAGGAAGGAAAGGATGCGAAGAATGGAAAAATTAATTCACCAACCGCAGCTGGAGCTGCAGCTGCAAGCGCACCTGTTTCACCTGCCAAAGATGTTACTGCCAATGGTACTCCCGGCTCATCAAAACCAGAGGCTTCAGCTGAACCAGAGGGTGAGCAACATTTGGAAACCACGCCAACTCCTGCGGAGTAATGACCCTTCATTTTTATTTTTTTTCTTTTTTTACGTTATCTTTGATTCTATTACTTAGAAATTTACTACGAAGAATAAACAAAATCATTTGTCAATGATCCAGAGTGTGCAGCTTGGAATGTACAGACTGCAGAGATTTTCTTCCTAACTTGCTCTAGGGTTTTGTAGGCTTAGTTTCTAAGCGAAACCAACTTCATCGAATTCAATTTTTCACATTTATTTTTTTGCATAAACTTGCATTCCCCCTTGGAGGATAAGCTCATTCCCCCTTGTGAAAAACATAACTTTGACCGTACATATTTCATAATTAGAACCGTTCAATTTCTTAATTTTCATTTGAAGGATCACTTCTATAAAAATCATTTCAATCGGAAATCATTTAGTCATTCAAATGTATGAAATCACCAATTTCTTAATGAAGAAGTGTTGAATGATGATAAACGAATACCAAATAGTTGTACAAATTATCCAAATGTTGAAAACAATAAATGGCAAGATAGTTTCAAACTATGTATAACTGTCACACATAATCAATTACATCAGTGCTTTATTTTATATGGAAAATAACCAAACAAATGCAAACTCAAAGAGTGATTATTTCATAACTTTGCCTGCAGTCAAGCAAGTCTTGTTTATGTCCTCTGGCGAACATTGACCGATTGGAAGGTTACTGCTTGTAGTAGGCGAGAACTCTATATACGGTCTATATGATGGTAAGAATGAGAACAATGATGACTGCATTTGAAACTGACCAGACTGACGATGGATTGTATAGATAATCCCTTTTGATCCCTGCAAGCCAACGACTCATAATATCTATCCACATCGTTTGCGAGTTTACTGTAAAGGAACGACATACATGTAGTGTCATTGCAAAGCCTTTTGAACAAAAAAACAGTGTCCTCCTTGCTCAACACGGTGTCTATAATTCCCTTGTGATTGAGACGGTCTAAATCTTTGGTAGACTTGATAAGCTGATTGAACATCGTGGCATAAGACAAAATGTAACGGGCATCAGTGAACACTGTTCGTAGGCTATGAGGTTTCTGAAGAGAGATTCTGTGCTCGCTCGAATTTTCATCCATGGAATTTCCATCACTCCCTTTTCGAAGTTGAAAGTTATGTTCAACAAACAAGTATGCAGGTGTGCACGTTGAAGTTGGACTCCAATGTCCTCAAGATGTGTCACTGCGGGAATAGCAGTCCAGTATTCGTAACGCATCTCCTCAGTGTCCTCATTCCACGTTGATGATCCAACACGCAAAACTCTTATGTCCTCATTCCTCGTTGATGATCCAACAAGCAAATCTCTTACATTGGTGAGTTAATGTCTAATAATTGCCATGTCGTCCCTTGCTTACCCATAAATTTGTATCCTAAGTAATAAATAATTATTGGATTATTCATAATTTCGCAAGTTAGGTCCAAATTAAGTTCATGTAGTGAAGACTTGTCTGATGTTGTGAGGTTGAATAAACAGTCGAGAACTTTCCACGGAAGCTGGTTTTCAAACAGAAACTAGTCGTTTTGAACTCTCGACAGCATCCCTGGCAGACTCAAAACACCATAAGGATCACGATTTTTATTCATCATGCATGCGCGGATAACTTGTATAATAAAGCAACCATCGATCACCATCATTTCTACAAAATGATCGCTACTCAGATGATCAATCTTTTCGTTATAGCAGCTACGAAGAAACTCTTCTCTGCTTCTAATTTCTTTGACAAACTTCACAAAGCTGGTGTCTGGAGTTGGTTTGGGATCGAGGAGGCGTTGCAAATTCCATAGCTTAATTTGTTCCATAGCTTGCAACTTTTTTCCTCCGTGGTAATACGGCCCGATTGAAACCACTTATGGAACAAAAGCATTTTCATTGTCCCAGACAAGTTTATTAGGGACTCTAAATATGCAAGTAGGATCTGCTTCTGATAATTTCTGGGGAAGCTTTGTTTCGATGAGAGTCGCTAATAATTCGTCTTCATTGTTTTTGTTTCCGCTCTAAGTTTGGTTACCCACATCACTTTTTTTTATCTCACATCTCTCTCCCTCCTCTCTTACTTCAATTACGGAGTGGTCACAGTTTGCATTGCTCTCATCAGCTGAGTTTGTCATCGTCAAATTTTTTTAATACCAAATGTGACTTGCCTAATCTAGTATTATATATGAACAAGAACAAAAATTACAAATAATATCAATACATAATTAATTAAACTACCAAATTTATATTGGAACCATACAAAAATCTTATGCTGCTAGATTTATATAATGTGTTTATTAAATAAACAACAATCCATCCAATATATTTATACTCTCTTTAGTTATATCTTTTAATTACTGGAAAATAAATTAAAAGATATGGAATATGTCAAGGATGATAGGCTTGGGTTAACATCCAAATATATATACACGTTTCTCTTGATCGAATTTGATGATTTTGAAAGCATGAATTAAAATTATTCAATGATTGGACTTAATGGGGCAAATGAACTTGAGGGCCTAAAAAATATTATTTAGATTATAATCTGAAAGTTTTGAAATCTATTTTTGTCCAAATTTTAATACTCTATACGTATATAATATTCAATCGTACACCAGATTTCAATGAGAATTAGGTCTTATTCAAAGATGATAATCAAATTTTCTGTTTAATTTCCTATAAAAATCAGTGTCAGTGAGTTTAAACCCATTTTGTATATGGTCATGAAAATTGATCATATACAAAATTTTAAAAATTAAATGACATGGAAGTTGATGATTGATTTATTACTTAAACGTTGATAAACGTGCTTATTTCTATTAGTGACACATCATTTAATTTGCAAATTTAATCTTCAAATTTAGTCTCCTTAGACCAACTCCAATGGTGGGCTAAAAGCCAAATTACCCCCCAAAATTTCCCCCCAAACCCACTCCAACCCAAAGGGAAATTTTGAGCTAAATGCTAAATGCTAAACCAATGCCAAATTCCCCCCGAAATTTAGCCCAAAAATCGGGGTGGACTCTATCCAATATTTATAGGAATTTAAATTTTTTTAGATTAAAATATTCATAAAATTAATTTACGATAGTCTACATATTTATTTAAAAAAAAAATTAATTTAACAAAAAAAATAGCCTAAGTTCATTCTTTAATAATCTCGGGCTAAAATTTTAGGATAGAACGGTTGGAGTAGAAAAACTGTTTTTGGACTAAAAGCTAAATTTTTCGGGATAAAAAATTTGACTTTTAGCCTAACCATTAGAGATGGTCTTAACATTTAAATTTATAAATAAAACCTTTAAGAATGATTGAGTTTATAAACACATATCAATAAATGATAAGGGGTAAAGAAATCAGACACAAAAAACTTGTACGCCCTCAGAGCAACTCCAGCGTTGGAGCCCTCCCCCCTGGCAATACACTATTCAATCCACCTAATGAACAGTAATTGCCCTTAATGAACAGTAAGTAGCCCTGGCAATAGGTTTTGCATCTCCACCGTTACACTTCTATAGCCCTGGCAATAGGCAATAAAATATTAATATTTTTTTATTTATAAAATTAATACAAAATAATTTTAAATGTAATATCGGATAAGATTTTTAATCGTTCTCGTTGCGCCACGTGTCATTATCCTAAGTATTATTAAATAATACAAAATAAATAATTATAATACAATTATTGGTGATGGATTTCTGATAAGATTATTAACCAATCACGTCGCGCCACGTGTCATAATCGGTTCACAATCTTTGAGGATAGATTTCCATCAGATTTTAAATGAATGACGGCATGCCACGTGTCATAATCTGTTAACAATCTTTGATGATAGATTTCCATCAGATTTTTAACGAATGACGGCATGCCACGTGGCATTATACAGAACCTAATCCTTTCTGAATCCTCTATATAATCCACCATCCATCTTCACAAATCTCACACCAAAATTCTCAAGATCTCTATCTTTATTCATAATTTCTGCTTCCTTATTCACAAAAATCAGTTTCAATATTCATAGTTTCTGTTTCTTTCCTTCAATGTCTTCTTCTTCTTCCTCAAGGATGATGTGGGAATTGAATCAGGAAGAGGAAGACTTGTTTAACCAATCAGAATCAATGTTCAATCACCAGGGGGTAAGAAATCAGAGGGAAGAAGATGAGGAGCGTCAAATGAGAGATGACGACGTAAGAAGGGGCAGAGCCTCACATTCCCGTCGAGTCATCCAAGCTGCGGCTCAGATCTGCAGGCCCAGACGTTCTGGAAACCTTGATAGAAGCAGGCAACGACGAGGTATGGAACTCTTGGATGATTATTTTGTTCCTAATAGTGCATTCCCTGATACGTACTTTAGACGTCGTTTTAGAATGGAACGACATTTGTTCAACAAAATCATGATTGCTGTTTGCAACCATGATTCTTATTTTGTGCAAAAAAAAGATGCTTTTGGTGCTATGGGTCTACTGCCGGAGCAAAAAATTACTGCTGTCTTGCGGATGCTTGCATATGGAGCATCTGCAGACCAAGTGGATGAGATAACGAGGATGGGGCAATCAACCATTCTTGAGTCCCTGATGAGGTTTTGCGGAGCAATCGAATCTATCTACACCGCTGAGTACCTCCGCAAACCCACACACATGGACTTGGAGCGGCTGTTGAAGAAGGCGGAGATGCGAGGCTTTCCTGGGATGATTGGAAGCATTGATTGTATCCCACCGGTTGAATGATTTATTTTTGCTTTTGGTTTTGGCAGCATACCAAGCTTGTGCTTGAAGTTCCTACACAATAAAAATAAGTAACAAATAAATAATACAAATAAATAATTATAATGAAAATAAGTAACTAGCAAATATATACATATATATATATATAAGTAACAAAGATAATGAAAATAAGTAAGAAGGCTTCAAGTTTAGTAAATAATGAAAATAATTAACAAATATATATATATATATATATATGTCATGTTAATCATAACATGGGGCTAGAGTTCCAAGTTTAGTAAATAATTATAATGAAAATAAGTAACTAGCAAATATATACATATATATATATATAAGTAACAAAGATAATGAAAATAAGTAAGAAGGCTTCAAGTTTAGTAAATAATGAAAATAATTAACAAATATATATATATATATATATATATATATATATATGTCATGTTAATCATAACATGGGGCTAGAGTTCCAAGTTTAGTAAATAATTATAATGAAAATAAGTAACTAGCAAATATATACATATATATATATAAGTAACAAAGATAATGAAAATAAGTAAGAAGGCTTCAAGTTTAGTAAATAATGAAAATAATTAACAAATATATATATATATATGTCATGTTAATCATAACATGGGGCTAGAGTTCCAAGTTTAGTAAATAATTATAATGAAAATAAGTAACTAGCAAATATATACATATATATATATATATAAGTAACAAAGATAATGAAAATAAGTAAGAAGGCTTCAAGTTTAGTAAATAATGAAAATAATTAACAAATATATATATATATATATATGTCATGTTAATCATAACATGGGGCTAGAGTTCCAAGTTTAGTAAATAATTATAATGAAAATAAGTAACTAGCAAATATATACATATATATATATATATATATAAGTAACAAAGATAATGAAAATAAGTAAGAAGGCTTCAAGTTTAGTAAATAATGAAAATAATTAACAAATATATATATATATATATATATATATATATATATGTCATGTTAATCATAACATGGGGCTAGAGTTCCAAGTTTAGTAAATAATTATAACCTTAAATATACACATTTTTTTTCTTAATGTAAGTGATATTATACATTAATTTTAATGAAAATAAGTAACAAATAAATAATACAAACAACATAATTATAATGTAACAAATAAATGTAACAAATAAGTAACAATAACATAATTATAATGTAACAAACAACATAATTATAATGTAACAAATAAGTAACAATAAATAATAAATTTTGTATGTAACAAATAAAGAATACAAACAATAAATAATAATATCTTGTTACCATATCCGAGTAATTTTCCCCACTTCGAATATTATTACTAGCTTGTGCCAAAGCGTCTCTCCACGTACTAAACGATTGGCTAAGTAATTTCCAACGACTGGACATCGATTCTTTGGTTCTTTTCCCACCAATTTTCTCAAGATAATTGGTATGAATAAGACTCCACATTTCTCGCAACTGCATCTCATTACCCGTAAGCGAACTATGAGTAACTTCAACCCAGCTAGTACACAACGCAACATCTTCAATAAGCGACCAATTCGTACCTGCACCAGTGGTCATTTTGTTGAAAAAAAATGGATTCAAACTTTGAGACAAAGAAAGGAATGTGATTGAAAGTAGTTGAGAAAATATGAAATTGTTGTGAAGGTAGATGATAATGAGAAGGTATTTATAGAAAAGTAAAAACAATTTTGTTTACAATTTTTTTCAAATTTTTCAGATATTTTTTTGAATTTTTTTGAATTTTTTACACTTTTTTTTTAATTTTTATTCAATTAATTAATCTCTGCCGTTGGATATAAAAAAATTTGAATTCCAACGCTCCAGATTGTGCCACGTGTCACAACGGTAACTTTTCAGATTTTTTAAACTATTTTTTCATTTATTTTTTAATTTATAAAGCATTTTAATATCCACCGTTGATCTCAGATCGAACGGTGGATATTAAATCTGACAGTTTTATATTTTTTTACCGTTGAGATCTAACGGTCCACATTAAGTGACCGTTAGGATCTAACGGTCCACATTAAGTGACCGTTAGGATCTAACGTACCGTGGGAAGCCACGTGGCTTCCCAACGGTAACAGACAAAACTTTTTTTTTTTCTGATTAAAGTGTCAGGACGCACCCCCACGCGCGGGTGGGGTGCACGCGCCTGATACAAAAAAAATTAAATAATACGCTGACGCCACCCTGGCGTCAGCATGGCGTCACTCCCACCCCGGGCTCAAGGCCTGTCAATTCCTCACGGGCCTGGCCCTCGGGCCTCCCCCGTCCCCCGGCCTGCCTCACGCTGGACGCCATCCACCGGCCCTCGGGCCTTTGTTCTGGAGCCAGTCCCCCGAGCAATATGCTACGGTGGGAGTGCTCTCATATGATCGATGATCCACTGCCACGCGCTCTCTCTCGATCGAAACACGCCGATCTGGCTTGATCAAAACAAGCTTAAGGCCATAACTCCAATTACTTAACCTCTAATCCTCATTTTTAAACTACGAAAACACCATTTTCCCTCTGAACCATGTCGTCCTTCGACTCCTTCGCCAACGACGCCGAATCCGACGACCCCCACCGCCACTCCCCGACCGGCCAGCCCTTCGACGACGATGCCTACATGGGCTAAGACCCCGGCCCCCCTTCCCTAGACTACGACTCGTCGTTCAACCCTCCCACCCACAACGGCGACTTGTCCTCCTAAGCCGTCAACCCTCCCCCTGCCCTCCACTCTGATTTCCAGGACGAGTCATTCTCCCCGGTGGCGACAACAACCACAACAATTGATCAGCAGCAGCAGTCCCCCAAGGTGTACGGAAGCATTTCCACCTCTAACCCGGAATTCGTGTCACCCTTGATTCGGCGGTGCCTGAGGACAACGGCGTCGGAAGTGGCGGTGGTGGGGATGATGGTGACGGGGGCATTTTCGCCGCCAGTGAGTCGGTGCTGCCCCTGCCCGAAGAGATGCGGGAGGAAGGCTTTGCTCGCCGTGAGTGGCGTCGGTGAGCTCATATCCTAACTTGTTGGTTTGATCATATAATTATTAAAAATTCCAATTTTGAACGGAAGTTGTTTGCTTGCAAAAACAGAGCTTAATTGTAACCATGACATTAATTATTTGATTAAGCTGGATTTAAAAGCTGTTTTATGATTAATAATGTTGTGCATGCGTGGGATTAAGGGGCTTATTTGTTTGGGGTCTGAATTAATGATATTGAGCTTTGTCCCTGTATTTGGCGAGTGGGATATGCGGGTAAATCGTATTTACTGTGAATTTGTGTGTCTATGTGTGTGTGTAAATTCGAAATGGGTAACTTTGATTTATTTGCTTGCAAAATGAGGTCAGATCTTGACCAGATCATTGCATATGTGCTAATTCGTCTTTCCTTTTTTGATTGTTTACGTTAGCTGATTCCGACCGTTGGTATAGGAACTATTGGCAGGTAACAGACCATCATTTAAGATGGATTACAATGACTCCTCTAGTCTTTAAAAGGAACCTAATATTCACTTCTGGTTCACTCGATAGAAACTAGATGTTGTTGAATTGCCAATGGATTCCGTGTTTGCTGTGTACATTGCTTCTTTCAGGAATAATCGGTTCCAAGTGCTAGCGTTTCCCAGATTCCATTCCATTGTACTATCGTGCTAGGCTATGCAACATTTTTATACTAATTTTTTCGATTGCGATCTCCCAATCCTGTAGATTTTCGTACCTTTATGGTTAAACCAACGTTGGAGTTCCTTGAATGGTTGGCCGAGAGCCTGAGAACATAGTGAAATCCTGGGTCTCTGCATTATTGGTTTCGCTTGTTATATGGTTAACCAAATGAGATAATGAAAGCATGTTGGTTTTGCTTCTCATAGTTATTTTAAACAAATGAGTTCAGAAATCACATCTTTTCTTTCCCATTGTTCTCCCCTGCACTGACAAAGGCATTGAAAATATTTTGATTTGACCTGTTGGCGTCAATACTTGCAGCCGAAATGTCATTCATCTAGAGGAAAAGTAAAAAAGAGAAGGGGAGATGCGGAACCAACTTATTGACGAAGCTGAAGAATTTAAGCGGGCCTTCTATGAGAAATGGAAGCTCAATTGTGAAACTAACAAAGCTTACAACAGAGAAAGGAAGAAGGTTGTAATTCTAAAATGCATCATGTTGTTCTACATCTTCCGCAGTCCTAATTCTCTCGCCCTCCCTCCCTCTGCCTTGCTTGCTTGTACGTGCATTCTACGATCACCATCAGTGCTTCATATCTATGGCGTGAATTTGACTTTCCATGCAGCTGTACCTGGCCAACCAAGAGAAGCTGACAAATGATTCCTCGTGAGGTTCCTAATATTGAGAAGAAGAGAGGGAAGAAAGATCCTGACAAGCGGCCCTCAATTGTTTTCATGCAGGGCCCAAAACCTGGTAAACCGACTGATCTTTCAAGGATGCGGTAGATTTTTCTGAAGTTGAAACAGAACCCTCCGCCACACATGATGCCGCCCCCACCTGCCAAAGATGGCAAGGATGCAAAGGGAGAAAAAGAAGGAAAGGATGCAAAAGGAGAAAAGGAGGAAAGGATGCAAGGGAAGGAAAGGATGCGAAGAATGGAAAAATTAATACACCAACCGCAGCTGGAGCTGCTGCTGCAAGTGCACCTGTTTCATCAAAACCAGAGGCTCCTGCTGAACCACAAGGTGAGCAACATTCGGAAACCACGCTAACTCCTGCAGAGTAATGATCCTTCATATTTTTTATTTTTTTGTTCTTTACATTATCTTCGAGTCTAATGCTTAGAAATTTACTATGAAGAAGAAGAATAAACACAATCAGTCTGCAGAATGGAATGTACAGACTGCAGAGTTTTCTTCCAAACTTCCTCTAGGGTTTTGCAGGCTTTGCTTCGTAAGCAAAACCACCTTCATCGAATTCAATGCTATCGCATTTATTCTTTGAATAACGTATCTTTGACGGGACAAATTTTATAATCGAAATCGTTCAATTTCTTAATCTTCATTTGACGATCACTCCTAACAAAAAATCATTTCAATCAGAGATTATTTAGTAAATGTATAGAACAAATCAACGTTATAGATACCAAGTAATATATTCATGATGAACTGCTAAATGATGATTAAAAAAAAAAAATACCAAATAGTTTTACACATTATCCAGAAGTTGAAAACAATAAATGGCAAGGTAGTTCCAAACTGTATGACTGTCACACATAATCAATTACAGCACTGCTTTGTTTCATAACTTTGCCTGCAGTCACGCAAGTCTTGTTGAATTTTTTGTCCTCGGACGAATATTGACCGATTGGAAGGTTACTACTTGTAGTAGGCGAGAACACTATATAGGGTCTGCATGGCGGTAAGAATGAGAATAATGATGACCGCATTTGAGACTGACCAGATTGACGATGGATTATATAGATAATCCCTTTTGATCCCTGCAAGCCAACGCCTTAGCCGACGATGTCTATTATAGCAATACACGTCCCAGGAGAGTCGAGAGTAAACTAACGGGATGGATGCAGTGTCATTGCAAAGCCTATTGAACAAAGAAACAGTGTCCTCCTTGGTCAGGTCGGTTACTACAATTTCTTTCCGAACGAGAGAGTCTAAATCTTTGGTAGACTTGATAAGCTGATTCAGCAGCATGGCATAAGACAAAATGTAATGGGGCTTCATTGAACACCGTTCGTAGGCTATGAGGTTTCTGAAGAGAGATTCTGTGTGGGCTCCAATTCTGATCTGCGGAATTTCCATCACTCCATTTTCCGCGTTGAAGGTTATGCCCAACAACTCTGTCCGTAAGGATGCATCTTGAAATTTGACTCCAATCTCCTCAAGATGTGTCACTGAGGGAATGGGATCCCAAAATCTATTAGAAAGGTCCGTATTCCTCGATAATGATCCAACAAGCAAATCTCTTGTATAGTCAAGTAAATGTCTGAATTGCCATGTCTCCCTTTCATTATCCATAATTTCTAAAATATTGTAAACATCGATCCAAGGATTATTCGTAACTGCGTAAATTAGGTCCGGAGTACATCTATGTAGAGAAGTCTCTCGTGGATTTTTTGTGAGGTTGAATAAACAGTCGAGAACTTTCCACGGAAGCTGGTTTTCAAGCAGTAACAAGTCGTTTTGAACTATCGACAACATCTCTGGCATACTGAAAACATCATGATGTATGGAAATCGGATTCCTTTCGCGGATAAGTTCTAAAATAAAGCAACCATCGACCACCATCATTTCTACAAACTGATCGCTACTTAGATGATCACCAAACTTTTCGTCATAGCAGTTACGAAGAAACTCTTCTCTGCTTCTAATTTCTTTGACAAACTTCTCCAAACTGGTGTCTGGAGTCGGTTTGCGTTTGAGGAGGCATTGCAAATTCCATAGCTTAACTTGTTCCATGGCTTCGAACTTTTTTCCTCCGTGGTGATAGGGCCCGATTGGAACCACCTGTGGGACAAAAGCATTTTCATTGTCCCTGACAAGTTTATTAGGGACTCTGAATATGCAAGTAGGATCTGGTTTTGGAAATTCCTGGGGAAGCTTTTTTTCTATGAGGGTTTCTAATAATTCGTCTTTGTTTGTTTCATTTCCGCTCAAAGTTTGGTTACCCACATCACTTATTTCTATCTCACATCTCTCCCCCTCCTCCCTTACTTGAATTATGGAGTGATCTCTGTTTGCACTATTGCTCTCCGCAACTAAATCTGTCATCGTCAACTCTTTCCAACTCCAAATTGACTCACCTAATCAAGCATTATATATTAACAAGAACAAAAATTACAAATAATGTCAATACGTTAATTAATTAAATTACCAAATTTATTATTGGAACCATACAAAAATTTTATAACGTCAGGTTTATGTCATGTATTTATTGAATAAATAGTAATTCACTCAGTATAGAACATGGATTATACTAATGTCTCTTGATTAATATTCCTTTTTTAAATATTGGAAAATAAATTAAAAGATATAGAGTATGCCAAGGAGGATGGGCTTGCCTTAACCTCCAAACATTCACCCTAACTCTAGCAAGACCACTAAGGTGGTCTGAAGTTCATTAATTCTACTAGATATGAACCTAAACGAGTTTTATTTGATATGTATGATTTTCCAACATATACTATAATTAAAAACTAGAAAAAGCAGAAATTTCATTATGATAATAGATATGAACCTAAACGAGTTTTATTTGATGTGTATGATTTTCCAACATATACTACAATTAAAAATAGAAAAAGCAAAAATTTTATTATGATAATACCTCTAGATCTAAAACGAGGAAGAATAATGCTAAGTAGATTAAATTTGTAAACTAAACGATGTATCACCAATAAGAAATAAGCACCTTAATCTGCACTTGAGTTGTAATCTAATCATTAACTTTCATGTCATGTAATTTACAAAATGTAATCTTCCTAACATTTGTAGACAGTAAGTAGGAAAACTTACCTGAATGAGAAATTTATGAGGTCGAATGAGGAATCCTTGGCGCCCCCTCCCTCCCTCAGAGCATACATAAATCTATATTTCTAGTTCCAGACTCATTTATAATGTGAGAATGAAACACTCTCTCGACACTCAAAGTCGATTCCCTTGCAAGTCTTTTTACACTATTCCATTTAATAATCGTCTTTCTATTATTCCCCTCACAATAAAAGGGAATAAAAAAAAGCTCTAAGTCGCATACCCTCGTCTCTCTCACATAAGAGCACTCCCACCGTTGCATTTAGCTCGGGGGACCGGCTCCAGAACAAAGGCCCGAGGGCCGGTGGACGGCGTCTAGCGTGACGCAGGCCGGGGGACGGGGGAGGCCCGAGGGCCGGTGGACGGCGTCTAGCGTGACGCAGGCCGGGGGACGGGGGAGGCCCGAGGGCCAGGCCCGTGAGGGATTGCCAGCCCTTGAGCCCGAGGTGGGAGTGACGCAAGGCTGACGCCAGGATGGCGTCAGCGTAATATTTTATTTTTTTTGTGTCAGGCGCGTGCACCCCACCCGCGCGTGGGGGCGCGTCCTAACACGTTAATCAGAAAAAAAAAAAAAGGTTTGTCTGTTACCGTTGGGAAGCCACGTGGCTTCCCACGGTACGTTAGATCCTAACGGTCACTTAATGTGGACCGTTAGATCTCAACGGTAAAAAAAATTCAAACTGTCAGATTTAATATCCACCGTTCGATCTGAGATCAACGGTGGATATTAAAATGCTTTAAAAATTAAAAAATAAATGAAAAAATAGTTTTAAAAATCTGAAAAGTTACCGGTGTGACACGTGGCACAATCTGGAGCGTTGGAATTCAAATTTTTTTATATCCAACGGCAGAGATTAATTAATTGAATAAAAATTTAAAAAAAATTGTAAAAAATTCAAAAAAATTCAAAAAAATATCTGAAAAATCTGAAAAAAATTGTAAAAAAAATTGTTTTTACTTTTCTATAAATACCTTCTCATTATCATCTACCTTCACAACAATTTCATATTTTCTCAACTACTTTCAATCACATTCCTTTCTTTGTCTCAAAGTTTGAATCCATTTTTTTTCAACAAAATGACCACTGGTGCAGGTACGAATTGGTCGCTTATTGAAGATGTTGCGTTGTGTACTAGCTGGGTTGAAGTTACTCATAGTTCGCTTACGGGTAATGAGATGCAGTTGCGAGAAATGTGGAGTCTTATTCATACAAATTTTCTTGAGAAAATTGGTGGGCAAAGAACCAAAGAATCGATGTCCAGTCGTTGGAAATTACTTAGCCAATCGTTTAGTACGTGGAGAGACGCTTTGGCACAAGCTAGTAATAATATTCGAAGTGGGGAAAATTACTCGGATATGGTAACAAGATATTATTATTTATTGTTTGTATTCTTTATTTGTTACGTACAAAATTTATTATTTATTGTTACTTATTTGTTACATTATAATTATGTTGTTTGTTACATTATAATTATGTTGTTTGTATTATTAATTTGTTTGTTACATTATAATTATGTTATTGTTACTTATTTGTTACATTTATTTGTTACATTATAATTATGTTGTTTGTATTATTTATTTGTTACTTATTTTCATTAAAATTAATGTATAATATCACTTACATTAAGAAAAAAAAATGTGTATATTTAAGGTTAAAATTATTTACTAAACTTGAAGCCTTCTTACTTATTTTCATTATCTTTGTTACTTATATATATATATATATATATATATATGTATATATTTGCTAGTTACTTATTTTCATTATAATTATTTATTTGTTACTTATTTTTATTGTGTAGGAACTTCAAGCACAAGCTTGGTACGCTGCCAAAACCAAAAGCAAAAATAAATCATTCAACCGGTGGGAATGTTGGAATATTGTCAAAGATTGTCCTAAATTTAGAGTTGTGTCAGTTGGTCCAGAAGTGCACATGAACAGCACCCCTCTACACTCTACACCCGATGATGAGAGAGGAGATGATGCAGAAGAAGTGCCCAAAACGCCCCTCCCTGAACAAGCGTCGGGTTCGACCCGTTTTCCAATTAGGCCTCAAGGTAAGAAGGCTTCAAAGAGAAAAGGGAGTGCTTCCAAAAACGATTATGCAAAGTTCATGGAAGAACTTACTCGCCAAGGTGAATTGACTTTGGCGAGGGAACTGGCGAAAGATGAGGCTGATAAGGCTGATAAGGCATCAAAAGCAGCAGCTGTTGAGAGAGAATTTTATGCTAATGAGAGAGAAAGAGAGCTACTTAGGCAAGAAAGGGAACATGTTAGAGAAGAAAGACGAGCTCAACAAGATCGTGAGATTATGAACATGTCTTTAGAAGGGAAGTCTCCAAATTCTAAATTTTTTTGGAAGTCAGAGAAAGCGGACGTGGTGCGAAGGAGGCGTGCAAGAGAAACAATAGCAAGCCAAGGTGGTTCTAGCACCGCAAGAGAAGATCATCCTAGCAGCACAAATTGGTTAAGTGATGATGAATAGAGTACTTTTTGTAATCGGAGCCCATAATTTTCCAATCACTTTGGGTTGTAATTTATTATTTATTGTTTGTATTATTTATGTTGTTTCCATGTTCATGAATATTTATTCAAATTAATTTGGTAAGTTATTTATATTAAGAATTAATTTGGTAAGTTATTTAATTTGGTAAGTTATTTATGTTGTTAAAAGTCCATTAAACATAAACATAAACATAAACATAAACATACTAAGAATTACATAAACATAAACATAACAAAATTACATAAACATAAACATAAACATACTAAGAATTACATAAACATAAACATAAAAAAATTACATAAAAAAATTACATAAACATAAACATAAAAAAATTACATAAACATAAACATAAACATATACTAAGAATTACATAAACATAAACATAAAAAAATTACATAAACATAGCAAATAATAAAACACACCAAATAAAATAACATAAACATACCAAATTCAAAATAACACACTAAAATGAACTTAATTATCCTCAGCTTGTTTCAATGCCCACTGGTGCTCTATCAAGTCAATTTGTCGGGCATTGTGCATGTCTGGCATTTGAAATGCAGTATATCGTTGAATGAGCCTTTCATTGTAACGTCCATCCCTTTGTAATGGCTCATGTTGCACGGGGTCATCGGTGGCGTCATGAGCACAATATATACGTGTTCTTGAATTGTTCATCGGGTCTGGCTCATATTCATCAACAGCTTCATAATCGTACTCATCTTCCACAATCATGTTGTGAAGAATGATGCACGTCATCATGATGGATCGAAGCGACTCTACATCAAACAATCTGGCAGCACCCCTGACGATCGCCCAGCGAGCTTGGAGGATACCAAAACAACGCTCCACATCCTTCCTGCACCCCTCTTGACAACTTGCAAAGTGTTTTTCCTTCGCACTCCGCGGACATGGCACTGTTTTGAAAAATGTTGACCAGCGCGGGTAGATGCCGTCAGCTAGGTAGTATGGCCCGTCGTACATACGTCCGTTGACCTCATATGTAACTTTTGGTGCCTTTCCTTGCAGGACATCGTTGAACACTGGGGATTGGGCAAGGACGTTGATGTCATTTTGAGCTCCCGGGACCCCGAAAAAGGCGTGCCAAATCCATGTATCAAAAGATGCCACCGCCTCCAGAATGATACTTTTTGCCCCTTTTCTGTCCCCGTAAGCGCCTTGCCATGCACTTGGACAGTTTTTCCACGTCCAGTGCATACAATCAATGCTTCCAATCATCCCAGGAAAGCCACGCATCTCCGCCTTCTTCAACAGCCGCTCCAAGTCCATGTGTGTGGGTTTGCGGAGGTACTCAGCGGTGTAGATAGATTCGATTGCTCCGCAAAACCTCATCAGGGACTCAAGAATGGTTGATTGCCCCATCCTCGTTATCTCATCCACTTGGTCTGCAGATGCTCCATATGCAAGCATCCGCAAGGCAGCAGTAATTTTTTGCTCTGGTAGTAGACCCATAGCACCAAAAGCATCTTTTTTTTGCACAAAATAAGAATCATGGTTGCAAACAGCAATCATGATTTTGTTGAACAAATGTCGTTCCATTCTAAAACGACGTCTAAAGTACGTATCAGGGAATGCACTATTAGGAACAAAATAATCATCCAAGAGTTCCATACCTCGTCGTTGCCTGCTTCTATCAAGGTTTCCGAAACGCCTTGGCCTGCAGATCTGAGCCGCAGCTTGGATGACTCGACGGGAATGTGAGGCTCTGCCCCTTCTTATGTCGTCATCTCTCATTTGACGCTCCTCATCTTCTTCCCTCTCATTTCTTACCCCCTGCTGATTGAACATTGATTCTGATTGGTTAAACAAGTCTTCCTCTTCCTGATTCAATTCCCACATCATCCTTGAGGAAGAAGAAGAAGACATTGAAAGAAAGAAACAGAAACTATGAATATTGAAACTGATTTTTGTGAATAAGGAAGCAGAAATTATGAATAATGATAGAGATCTTGAGAATTTTGGTGTGAGATTTGTGAAGATGGATGGTGGATTATATAGAGGATTCAGAAAGGATTAGGTTCTGCATAATGCCACGTGGCATGCCGTCATTCGTTAAAAATCTGATGGAAATCTATCATCCAAGATTGTTAACAGATTATGACACGTGGCATGCCGTCATTCGTTTAAAATCTGATGGAAATCTATCCTCAAAGATTGTGAACCGATTATGACACGTGGCGCGACGTGATTGGTTAATAATCTTATCAGAAATCCATATTATAATTATTTATTTTGTATTATTTAATAATACTTAGGATAATGACACGTGGCGCACCGACAACGATTAAAAATCTTATCCGATATTACATTTAAAATTATTTTGTATTAATTTTATAAATAAAAAAAATACTAATATTTTATTGCCTATTGCCAGGGCTATAGAAGTGTAACGGTGGAGATGCAAAATCTATTGCCAGGGCTACTTACTGTTCATTAAGGGCAATTACTGTTCATTAGGTGGATTGAATAGTGTATTGCCAGGGAGGAGGGCTCCAACGCTGGAGTTGCTCTAACTCACACTTTTGCCCTTTTTGATTTCTTTTTTTTTTTTCTTCTTCTTCTTCTTCTCTTGCTATTTGTCTGATCGTTCAGATGATTTTTATTTAATTGCTTGCGAAATGAAATTAGGCTTCAACCTATCATTGCATTAGAGCAACTCTACTCTTTCAACAGCAAAACCAAATAAAAATAAAAATAAAAAGCAACTCCACTATTTAGAACGATAATTGCTCACATAATTAGACAATGAATAATTATTACTTAATAAATAGTAATTATTTAAATGCATCTGCACTCTTTAAAATAATTTGCTCGGGTAGTAGTATTAAAAAATTAATAAAAATATTTGCTTTATTATAATTTGTTTTTTTTTATTTTTTATTCTTTCTTCTTTCTTCTTTCTTTTTTCTTTATTCCTGTCTCTGGAAACCTCTCCTCCGTTTATCCCTTTTGTCCTCCGTCCCCATTCCGATCCCTCCAGAGTAGCAATCCTCCAGATTCCCAAACCACTGCGACTGCTCAAGCTTAGTGAAGCTGAAACGCCAACCTTGGGCTTCTTCCCGACGACTGAAGCGCCCTCAAAGGATCCGTCAATGGAAGAAGACGCCGGCGGCGATTCCATCGTGTTCTTCGCCTTGCTCGAGCCCATCGCCTCCTCCTCTCCTTCCGTCTTCGACATCTCCCCCTCCTTCCCTCCTCCTGTCTTCGATATATGGTTCCCATAAAACTATTTAACGTGCAGCTGTTAGCATGACGTCATATAGACTCTGGCGCAGGGTCTGGCATCAATTGCCTGACCGCTTAGTCCGGCAATGTTGGGTGCACGTTTTGCCCGACTTTTTTCAATGAGCTGGAGCTTTTTATTCTGAACTTTGGGCAAAAACAGAGCTTAATTTTAACCATGGCATTAATTATTTGATTAAGTTGGATTTAAAAGCTGTTTTAACCATGACATTAATTATTTGATTAAGTTGGATTTAAAAGCTGTTATATGATTAAAAATGTTGTGCATGCATGGGATTAAGGGGCCTAATAACATCTTTTTGTAATTTGATTTCTGTGTTCATTACCATTTGTTCTACATCTTCCGCAGTCCTAATTCTCTCACCCTCCCTCCCTCTCCCTTGCTCGCTTGTACATGCATTCGACGATCACCATCAATGCTTCATATCTATGACTTGAATTTGACTTTCTGTGCAGCTGTACCTGGCCAACCAAGAGAAGTTCCACAAAGAGGCTGACAAATGATTCCTCGTGAGGTTCCTAATATTGAGAAGAAGAGAGGGAAGAAAGATCCTGACAAGCAGCCCCCAATTGTTTTCACCAGGGCCTCAAGGATGCTGTAGATTTTCCTTAAGTTGAAACAGAACCCTCCGCCACACATGATGCCGCCTTCACCTGCCGAAGATGGCAAGGATTCAAAGGGAGAAAAAGAAGGAAAGGATGCAAAGGATTCAAAGGATGGAAAGGTTACAAAAGATGCAAAAGGAGAAAAGGAGGAAAGTATGCGAAGAACGGAAAATTAATTCACCAACCCAGCTGGAGCTGCAGCTGCAAGTGCACCTGTTTCATCAAAACCAGAGGCTCCTGCTGAACCAGAGGGTGAGCAACATTCGGAAACTACGCCAACTCCTGCAGAGTAATGATCCTTAATTTTTTATTTTTTTATTTTTATTTTTTTTGTTCTTTACATTATCTTTGAGTCTAATGCTTAGAAATTTACTATGAAGAAAAAACACAATCAGTCTGCCGAATGGAATGTAGAGAATGCAGAGTTTTCTCCCAAACTTCCTCTAGGTTTTGCAGGCTTTGCTTCATAAGCAAAACCACCACCATCGAATTCATTGCTATCACATTTATTTTTTGAATAACGTATCTTTGACCGCAAAAAATTTCATAATTAGAATCGTTCAATTTCGTAATCTTCATTTGAAGATTTCCTACAAAAAAAAAAAAAAAATCATTTCAATCGGAGATTATTTAGTAAATGTATAGAGCAAATCACAATATAGATAACAGGTAATATATTCATGATAAACTGTTGAATGATGATAAAAAATATAAATAAATAAATAAAATCCAACTAGCTTTATAAATTATCCAAAAGTTGAAAACAAGAAATAGCAAGGTAGTTCCAAACTCTATGACTGCCACACACAATCAATTACAGCACTGCTTTAGTTCATAAATTTGCCTGCAGTCACGCAAGTCTTGTTGAGTTTTATATCCTCCAACGAACATTGATCAAGTGGAAGGTTACGACTGCTTGTGGTAGGCGAGAATACCATATACGGTCTGTAGGGCAGTAAGAATGAGAGCAAGGATTACCGCATTTGAGAAAAGTGACATGACTGACTGTGGATTGTATAGATAATCCCTTTTGATCCCTGCAAGCCAACGCCTTAGCCAACGATCTCGATTATAGCGATACACGTCCAAGGTGAGTCGAGAGTAAACGATCGGGATGGATGTAGTGTCATTGCAAAGCCTATTGAACAAAGAAACAGTGTCCTCCTTGCTCAAGTAGGTTACTACAATTTTTTTCTGAAAGAGAGAGTCTAAATCCTCGGTAGACTTGATAAGCTGATTCAGCAGCGTGGCATAAGACAAAATGTAATTGGGCTTCCTGGAACACCGTTCGTAGGCTATGAGGTTTCTCAAGACACATTCTGTGTTGGCTCCAATTCTCGTGAGTGGAATTTCCATCACTCCATTTTGCGAGTCGAAGGTTACGCCCAACAGCTCTGTCTTAGAGGATGCAGGTTGAAATTTGACTCCACTCTCCTCAAGATGTGTCACTGAGGGAATAGGAGTCCAATGTTTATAAAGACTGTCCCTATTCCTCGAAAATGATCCAACAAGCAAATCTCTTGCATTGTCAAGTAAATGTCTGAATTGCCATGTCTGAATTGGGTGCTTGTGGATCGTCCGATTATGCATAACTTCAGCAATTAATACCGAAGTTAGAAAATGTAGAGATTTCTCTTTTGAAGTTGTTGTGAGGTTGAATAAACAGTCGACAACGTTCCACGGAAGCTGGTTTTCAAGCAGGAACAAGTCGTTTTTAACCATCGACAACATCTCTGGCATACTGAGAACATCACGATATCTGGAAATCGGATTACTTCGGCGGATAAACTCTAACAGAAAGCAACCATCGACCACCATCATTTCTACAAACTGATCGCTACTCAGATGATTACCCAACTTTACGTCATAGCAGTTACGAAGACACTCTTCTCTGCTTCTAATTTCTTTAACAAACTTCACCAAACTGGTGTCTGGAGTTGGTTCGCGTTTAAGGAGGCATTGCAAATTCCATAGCTTAATTTGTTCCATGGCTTCGAACTTTTTTCCTCCGTGGTGATACGGCCCGATTGGAACCACTTGTGGGACAAAAGCATTTTCACTGTCCCTGCCAAGTTTATTTGGGACTATGAACATGCAAGTAGGATCTGCTTCTGGAAATTCCTGGGGAAGCTTTTTCTCTATGAGGGACGCTAATAATTCGTCTTTATTTGTTTCATTTCTGCTCAAAGTTTGGTTACCCACACCACTTAGTTCTATCTCACATCTCTCTCCCTCGTCTCTTGCTTGAATTACGGACTGATCTCTATTTGCACTATTGCTGCTCTCAGCTAAGTCTGTCATCGTCAACCATATTAACAAGAACAAAAATTACAAATAGTGTCAATACGTTAATTAATTAAACTAGCAAATTTATTATTGAAACCATACGGAAATTTTATAACGTCAGGTTTATTTAATGTATTTAGGCTAAATAGCCAAAATGGTTCCTAACATATACATAACACATCACTTTGGTCTCTGAGATTAAAAATCAATAGAAATGGTCTCCGAGATTGTCCAACATCCATCATTTTGGTCATTCCGTTAAAAACTCTTTGGGCAATTTTCAAAGTTTCGTAACTCAATCGTTTCTTAACCAAATTCGACCCATAATATATCAAAATGAAGATAGGAAAGTGTAGAACAAGATTATACATATTTAGAAGCCCAATAGTTGCAGATATAGTTGGAAAATAGCCTCAAAGTCGACTAGTCTGCGAAAAAACTGGAAAACTAGTCGGAAATTGGGTAAATTTTAAACGTTCATAACTTCTTCAATACTCAACGAAATCGAGTGATTCAAAAACAAAAATCATAATTATTGACAAGATAAAAGAGAATGGTACCTTTCTCGATGGCTAACTCGCCATGGTTTGGCCGGAAAACGGTTCGAAAGTGGCTAACTCGAAAATGGTTAGCCACTTTTGAGCCGTTTCACGTCAAAATGCAGTGAATTAGCTATCAAGAAAGGTACCATTCTCTTCGTCTCATCAAGAAGTATGATTTTCGTTTTTGAATCACTTGATTTTGTTGAGTATTGAAGAAGTTATGAACGTTTAAAGTTTACACAATTTCCAGCGAGTTCTCTAGTTTTTCCGCGGATCAGTCAATTTTGGGGCTATTTTCTGGCCATCTTCGGCAACCATTGGGCTTCCAAATAGGTATAATCTTATTCTACACTTTCCTATCTTCATTTTGATATATTATGAAACAATTGAGTTACGAAGCTTTGAAAATTGCCTAAAGAGCTTTTAACGGAATGACCAAAATGATGAATGGTGGACAATCTCATGGATCATTTCTATTGATTTTCAATCTCAGGGACTAAAGTGATGTGTTATGCATATCTCAGTGACCATTTTGGCTATTTAGCCATGTATTTATTGAATAAATGGTAATTCACTTAGTATGGAACATGGATTATACTAATGCCCCTTGAGTAATATTCCTTTTTTTTTTTAATTATTGGAAAATAAATTAAAAGATATAGAATATGTCAATGAGGATGGGTTTGGCTTAACCTCGAAGCCTCCATCCTTCAAACAAATCTCTCCCTACCAGTTCGATTTTTGCAAGGTGTAGGTGAGAGAACTACGTCGATTTGATTTTATTTCTAGCACAAAGTATGTAATTAATTTAATTAGGTAAGATGCAACCGAATCTTAAAAGTAGTGATGTTTGTGCTCGCGAACAAAGAAGTCTCGTAAGAATGAAACAATGATCTAAAATTCTTTAATTCGACTAAATCATGACGTAACCGAGTTCCATTTAATATACACGATTTTCCAACATATACTATAATAGAAAATAGAAAAAAGCAGAAATTTCATACTAATAATGCCTCTAGATCTATATTTATAGGCAGTTGGTAGGAAAACTTACCAGGATGAACCAAGAGATTATAGATTCAGGTTGAGAAACTTATGAGATCGAATGAAGAATTGTTCGGCCCCGCTCCCTCCCACAGAGCATACACAGATTTGTACTTCTAGTTCCACTCGTATATAATGCGAGGAAGAAACACTTCCAACTGTCTGCCACTGTCAGCCCTAAGTCAATTGACTTGCAAGTCCTTTAACACTGTATCTTCTTTTATCTTCACTTTTTTGCCCTTTCACTTCTTCGTCCTTTTCTTCTATTGGTATTTTGTCTGTTCTATCTAGTTTTCATTTAATTGCTTGTGAAATGAGCTTCGGTTTTCACCGTTTCATTGCGTTGTGAGAAATTTTATTCAAAATCAGAGATTTTATCTTATGAAATTTAGGTTAAAATTAATAGATTTTTTAACGATATATTTATATGAAGGAGTTGAGGGAATAAATTGTATCGATTTCATCATCTATAAGATTTAAACCTAAAATATCTTACGTCCAAGTGAATATAATAAAGTGTAGACCTTGTTCTAGTTTCTAAAGGTGATGTTTGGCTTGCGATTGAGATCGCGTTGCAAATTTCGTAGTTTAATTTGTGAATTTTCTCCTGCATTATTTGAAAGAGTTGAGGAAATAAATTGTATTGATAGATTTTAGGTTTGATTTTAGCCAAAAACGAATTTAAATGACATTATTGCTAGCTTATTGTGAGACTAATCTCACTCCCTTTCTCTTAGTGTAAGTAATATCGTTAAAAAATAAAAAAATAAAAAATATAAACCCTTCTCTAGTTTCTAGAGGCGACTTTTCGATTATATCGAGTCGATAACTTAGTTTGTTCCGTAATACAAATAGTTTTTATTGTTTGGTTTCAATACAAAAAGCAAATCATGGCAAGGCATGTTCAAATTCCAATCATGGTAGCTATGGAGTAATATTAGTTAAGACAATTTTGAAGTGCCACTTAATAATACGGTATTGATATGAGAAATGTTAAAAGGATTCTTTCAAAAGTGAGATTCTCCGATATCTCACATCTTAACGTCAATTCGCATGCCAACATTATAAAATAATGTGCCAAAAATATAAGGTGTCGGAGAGTCCATAAAGAGTCACACTTTTAAAAGAGCTCCTTAATCTTTTACGTAATAATATTTATCTTCAGTTATAAGTGAAAGAATTCTAATTTTAAATCTTCAACCCTTACTATAAATAACAAATTCAATCCAATTATTTTTCTCTATATTTTATTGTAAATATATTGTTATATAAAAATAAAATAAAATAAAAGGACAAGTTGAGAATTGGTCGGTTTCCATTAACATTTAGGACATGATCCCTCATTTCACAATCTTGAGATGACCCTCACATGGTCCCTCAATGTAGATTTTTTGTTTGGTCAATCTCAATGTCGATTGTTTTTGCATAAAAGTTACTAGCCTTTATGGACGTGCTTACACATGTGTAAAATGTATTTTTTGAATTACGGCATACTATACGTAACTTACACATTTTAAATATATTTATATACGTAAATTGACAAAAGAAAAGTCAAATATTTGAAGTAAATGAATAATCTTAAATCATGCTAAGCCCACCCCCTCCCCTTTAGTGTGACAGCCCGTCCCGAATTATTCGTACCATAGGTGTGAAATGATGATTTTGCCCTTGGTAGTTATTTGTCATTTTGGGGTGATTGTTTTGTGGTCTTGTTGGTTGCATCTGGACCACACATTCTCATCCTCATCTCCTTCCCCATTGTTTTGTGGTCTTGTTGGTTGCATCTGGACCACACACTCTCATCCTCATCTCTTTCCCCATGTATCCCTCTCTGTCTCGAACTCCCCCTCTCTCTCTTATTCTCCCTTTGTACGGACGAGACCCAAATCCCTTGCAAACGTCACAGATCGAAGTGGAAATTAATACCTTTGTGTTCGTGAGGACCATACGAGTCCAACCATACCAATTTCAGGTAAGGAATCCTTCGATTTCACGTCGAACCAGGAATCTCCGATTTGGTCACTGTTCATGCACACGTGAAATGTTGTTTTCCAGGGAATTTGAAGCTTATAGGAAGCTTAGTGAGGTCCTTAGGAAGCTCGGGTGGTTCGTTGGAAGGAATTAGACGTCCGGATCGTGAGTTGCGAGTTTGGCCGATTTTTCTTGAATTTCTCCGAAGACATCGCGTGATATTTGGGGCTTTAGACAGTAAGGAAATGTTCTACAAGTTATGAGCTTCATTTTGGTGCAAATTTCATAGAAATTGGTGAAGAAACCTGTGAGAATGAAGGGTTTGATGTTTTTCCAGGTTTCCGGCGACCGGCGTCTCGCCGGAGAAAATGACAGAATATTTCGTCAGTTTGGACGAAATATTCTGACGCAGTCAGTCAGATTTAATGGAATCCGTTAGGGTTTAACGGAATATTCCTGATGGCTTTAACTGACGTCGTCAGTGTGATTGGCACGTGGCTGCACGTGGGGGCGCATAGGTCCATGCACTCGCCGGCGCGTGGGGTCTCGAAAAATTATTTTTAAAATATAGGGATGTTCGTGAGGTTGAGTAGATCACGTTGGTATATCCAAACATCCCATTTAAGCATTGTATGAGAAGTTATTACATAGTTTTGGTTATGTGCTTTAAATTGACGCTTTTATAGTTGTTTCGCATATAGGTGAGACCTATCCTGAGGACCAGGGCAGTCACTCCAGGTAAAGGGTTACGACCCTTCCACATACTAGTGAGTAGGCTTTTGGTTTTCCGTATATACCTATATACTTATGGTTTTCCCAGAAAATGAAATGGAATGTTTATATGTTTTAAATGCCATGCATAGCGTTTGCCTATTTATCTATGCATTAGTAGTTACATATATGTATGTTTAGTGCTGCGATGCACAGGTAAGTACCAGGTAAGTTTATGGTTTATGATTGTGAATTAGTGGTTATGTGAGATGCATAAAGAGCTCATAACCTGCACCCCCGATGTTAGTGCTCCTGCCCAGAGTAGGGCACAGTTCTTCACGTGATGTTCACCTCCCACACCACACGCTCATCTTGGATCCAAGTTAGGCGCACAGTCATGTCGTACAGACCACTTTAGGTGGTTCCGACTCGTAGGTAACCCGCGATTATTCGCCCAGTCTTCACATGATCGTAGCACTTAAGCGTATTTATTTACACTCAGTCCTGTTGTATAGACCACTTTAGGTGGTTCCGACTTGTGTGTAGGTATAGTTAGTGAGTTGGGGATTTGAGCTCTAGATTCAGTCGTACAGTTCACGTTAGGTGACTCTGGCTGACATGTTATTTGCATTAATTGACATTACCTGGGTTACTTACATTTTATGTGGAGGCATTCGACATAGCATATTTCTGAACATGTTTTTGATATATGTGTATATTCTATTTTCTGGGAAACTACACAGGTTTTACGGCGAG